CCTCAGATCTCTTGAGTCAGAGGAGCAAGCTTTCTGATAGTCTTTTTGTAGAGTACTTTTATACTCGTAGAATCTTTGCTGCAATAAGAATTACATTTTCTGAAGCCTGACCCTGTCTGTACGCTCGCCAACCTCCTTGTCACTGTTGCTGCTGTATGAGAATGCGCGTCGGCGAGATGTTGTCGGTGGGCATGTTTTGACACTGAGTGGCAGGTACTTTGCGCACCTGCCAACGTGCCACATTGCGGTGAGGCTGAGCGGTAGCATCCAGAGGTGACTGCGGGCTGGACAGCATTGTCAGCCTATTTCTGAGCAAAGCTGGGGGTGTGTTTAGGATGGTGATAGGAAAATCTGTCCCTTCTTCCCCCTTCCTCTGCAGAAGGACACGATTTTTCAATTTACAAGTAGAATGGGGGGAGGGTGGGGTTGGTTGGTTTCTGTGTGGATTTGCTGTTTGTTTTTTTTTTAAAACTCCAGACACTTGAGCGCTGAGGTGCTGTGGGTTACTGGAGAATAGCAGTGAGAAAATTGTCACAAAACCTGGTTTTGTGCAGATTAAAATATCACTGATGCTTTACAAGCGGATCTTAAACAAACAAAAAAAACCTGAGAAAGGTGAAGGGAAAAGGGAAATGGAGGGAGCAGATGTCAGAGGGAGCCTTGCCCAGAGGAGCGTGTGGTACGTTCCTCTGAAGGGACGCAGTGCCTGAACCTCCATCTGGGCTGTTCCCAGCTGTGAAGCTCCCCAAAACAAAGTCCCAGAGCCCTGCCGAAGCCTTCGAACTCCAGAGGAGAACTTGTCTTGCATACCCAAGCAATATGTTTGACAGACCTCTAATGCCCTTGAAGGAGCACGCCAGTCCAAGTGCTTGTTTTGTCCTTGAGTTCTCTTCTGGGATTTCTGCTTTTCCTACTGGTGAAGCATGGTTTGTAGGGACAAATGCCGCATTCATTAGACCAACTTGTGTATTTGGAAAAAAAAACAGAGGAACTTTTGAGTGTACAGTCCCTTCTTGAAGTCTGGAATGGCAGTGGCAACCTGAGGACAGGTTGGGAAAAATTTTGTTCAGTTTTGCCGTGATTACACAAGTAAACGTAGCAGTGAAGGCACGTATTTGTTAGATGAAGTCACTTCAATTTCAGACATGAGAACAAAATGCTGTTTCAGCGTTCTGTATTTTCCATAGCTTTGCATAACTTGCGATGAGGTGCTGCCATTTTCCTCATGTTAAACTCAGTGTCAAACGTGAAAATGTATTTAATTAATTCTAAATAGGATGGTTATGTGTATTAGCACTTAAGATGCACAAAGGTGGATACCTTTGATACTAATAAAAAGTCACAGGTGACATCTCTTTTTCTCTTCTGAATTTAATTTATTTGATTTGATTGATCAGAGGGGCTAGTTTACACTCAGCTGCTGTGTGTTTTGGTTACTGTAGTAGCAGCTTCAAGCAGTCCCGACCCCTCTGACTGCACTTCTGTCAATCGGGCATTGTTTTCTGGGCTAGTTCAGGGGGTCCTGGGGAGAAGTTTCTTTAAAATGTGTTTCCTGTGGAGTATCAAAGGGAGCATGGTCTGTGTCTGAGCAGCGGCTGTTTGAGGTGATCTGATTAATCTTGCTTTATAAATGTAACTGCCTGCTGAGATGGCAGCGTCAAAAAAAGTGGCCAGATTCAGAGAGTGGCTGAAGATTCCCTTTCATTACTTCAAGGTGTCCGTAGTCATCTGAAAATTAAAAGGACTCGACCGTCCACATCCGCTAGGATTTCCTGCCGTTTCAACTCTCAGATCTTGCAGTTGCCATTTTGTAGCTGCAAACCAACACGTTCCTGGGATTTCCCATGCTCCTTTGTGAAATCGATACCACGCCGGTCAGCAGCGGGAATGGAGAGTACACAGGCTGCAGTGGTGTCAGATGTAGGTTAGGATTTTCAAATCTCTTTAAGAGGACTAAGACATGCTTTGGGTGTATAACCTGGCCGAAGGATTTGGGATCAATTCCGCAGACTTCTATTGAAGGGCAGGGACGCTGACAAAGTACGTGGTTAGAGCTCAGTCTCCTGCTCCAAGAATTTTCTGGATTTGGGAGTGTATATCAAGTTTGCAGTGAACCTAACTTCAAATTGAAAAATAAATAAACAAATAAATAATGTGCTTTCTTGTATTGCTGGGAATTTTTGTTTGAGAGTGGCGCCCGCAAAGTCATGGTGGCTGTGTTTGCGGTCGGGAGTTGACTGAGGTTATAAAGTAAAAATGACTGCTGTCAATGTTGTGTAGCCCAGAACCTCTCTGGAGCTGGACCATGAGCCCAGCCCCTACCTTTCTCATGGTAAGCAGAAAACCTCAGTGGGCCCAGCAAATGGTTCAGCTGGGGTGTATTTTGCTCACTGTGAGGCTGGATTAATTGAGGTCCTTAAGAAGTGCAGAGTGAGCCATAATAATGATGTTTTTTGTTCTGGGAAGAACTAACTTGTGTCCTGTGTTACACTTCAAGCTGCCGTTGGCACCTCTCGGGGCTGACTGATGGCGATGGTCTGTGTTAAGCTCCTGAACTCGTGTGATGCTGCTTTGCTTCTTCTCGTATGGAGTCTTGTCAGCGGCTCTGATAAGCCACTGATCAAAGTTGCCATTGAAGTTTCCCAGCATGAAATGAAACCCTGTTTTATGAATTTCAATTTCTCTTTCTGGCCTGCCATCATCTTCCCATTCTCACATCCTACAGGGTTGTGCTATTTCACTCCTGCGGAAGGATCACAGCAAAACTTGCATTGTATGGCCTTTTACTTTATTGGATTTTATTTTTACAGCAGCTCGGGTGAAACTAGTTTATGCAAGAAGGCTGAATACTGGCTGAAAATGAGAACAGATAAACGGTTTATCCGGAGGTCTGGCGTAGATTCAGAAGCTAAAATAGGAGCAGGATCTGTGTAAAGGGATGAGGGCAGCGGAACAAATGAAACCAGTTTTCAATGGTTTTGGTGTCTCGGGGTTTTGGTCATTTGTTCTTGAATTGCCAACTGCCTTCTTCCCGCTGCAATAAACCGACCTCGGGCGTGAGATGCAGAAGCTGCACAGCCCCAGCTGGCTGCCAGCACGTGCTGCAGACTGGCCCAGCGGCCACTTTCTGTCCTCATCTCCCTCTGCTGAGCTGCAATTCTGATTGTTCTCTGTTCAGCTGCTAATGTTATGAAGGACGTGTTGTAGGAGTAGACTTATTTTTCACTACTTTCCCCCCTTTCTGAATTGGTGGAGACTGGCCAACAGTTACTGAGGGGGGCAAACAGGGAGAGAACACCGTTGGCGGGGTCTTCGTGGGTTGACACGCAACGATGCTCTCGGCAGCCTGGTTTTCTTTCTGGATACGCAAGCCAGAGTTTGAACAAACCTCTTACCTAAAAATCCTGTGTTTAGAGTCTGTTATTTCTACGTAGGGGTTCATTTGCTTAGGAGGGGAAAAAAAAAATCTTTAACTGTCCTTTATAGGCAAAGTGTAATTGGAAAATGTGCTTTTGTGTGTGCTTTTACATCACTGCTGCTGTTGAACAACTACAGCTTTGCCCACAGAACTGTTGATGATAAGAGAGGAACATATTCACTCTGCTTTTCAGCTGTGTTGGTTTGGGAAAATGAGGAGTAGCAAAAGATGAAACTATTGTAGAGTGGTGTATTGCTTAGTATTACAGATGTGCAAAATAAGAAGAAACAAGAGGCATGAATTAGAAATTGAATCACAGAGGGCCTGGTGTATCATAAAGAGTAACTGTAAAGATGTTCCTGCCCCATAAAGCCTCTAGAACTAAGGCAAAAGTGAAGTGAGGTTAGATGAAGTGACTAGGGGCTCGTGAGGTCAGTGGGAGGATATTGGGTTTTATTAGAAAGAGGAAGAAAGAATAAATCCTGGACCTTTCAATTAGATTCAGATACCTGTTTGGCTCTAGGGTCAGGGATTTGACCTTTCAGAGAAAGGTATTTTTGGAAGTTAGAAGTCATATTTCGATCATCCAGTCCCTGCTGCTAACGAGTACAAGATCTGTTCCTTTTGGTATAGATTTATTTCCTCCAGTCTAATTATACTTATCCCAAATGATTGCATTTTTATGAATTTCCTCTAGAAATGTTCGTACTCTGAACCAGTCTCCCTGGGTTCTCTGCTTTTAATTTGCTGCAGGGATGAACCCTGTATCCTTACTTACTTGCAGTTCAGGATAAGAGATGTGAGCAATGGAAAGGAAAAGGACATTTTGCTAAATGAGGGACCATTTTGGTTTGATGCAGTTTAGTTTAAAATTCAGCATGTTAGGATATTGTTCTGTCATGGCTGGAAAAAGTTGAAACCTTCTTTTTCCCCCCTGCCGTT